TATATTATGTACTTAAAAGTTCTAGTTAAAATATATGTGTATCTTAAGTATGTTTTATATTTATCATTAGCCAGCTCCAGTTGATATTGTACATTAAATAATTTTATCAGCATTTTTACTTTTGGATTTAATGAGAGTTATAAGTTTTGTCATCTTTCTTACCACTTATTTAGTTATTACAATACTAATAAAATAATTAAGGACATTTGAAAGTATCTTGTTTGCTTTGAAAAAAAATTATTCTTATCATAAATTGAACGCCAATTACATTGAATGTGTTATATTTTCTATCGTATAAAATTTTTTCATAATAATAGTTGCACACAATATTATATATAATGCAATTTTTTTTTTATAGATTTGGATTCTTAGTTTTACTATAAGAAAATGAGAAAATTCCAACAAAAATTACAACAAAATAACGATTTTCTTATGTTGATTTTAGAAAAATCTTGACTTTTAATTTCTTAAATATATTTTACCTTATTGTGAATTGTGATTGCATAGATTTATTAAAATGTATTACAAATGAGAAAGGTGATAGATTATGTAAAGTATAATTTATAAATTGTAATGACATGTTATTTTGATGGTATATTTTTTTTCTATTAACTAAATAATGCTCCCAATATGAAATTATTTTGGATCTATCACTGCAATTATCTTTCCAATGGAACTTCTATTGAATTTTTGCATAATACCAATGACAATTTTTTCAACGATTGAAATATGGTCCAAAAATAAATTCTAATAGAAATTCAGGTAATTGAAATCTTTACATCCACTAAAGTTCATGTAACTTAACTTGAACTCGATTGGAATAGCCAATGAAAGAAACATATTCGTTGAAATTTTCAATAGAATACCTTACCGTTGAATTTTTCATTGCAGTATAGCAATATTTTGTAGTCCTCTCCAACATTATTTTTTATGTAGTATTTATTGAGTAATTGTGTTTACAATTTTCTATTAAAAATATATTAAACACGTGAACTTTTTAGTTCCTATAATTTTTTTTTTCAGAAATCACTCATTGTTTTATCTCAAGATTACCTATTAATTTACCAATTAAGTTACATTTCTTACATATTAAATATTATATAATTAAAATGTTTTTGTTTTATCTTTTCAATATCATACTTATATATTATATTAAAAAACTATTATAGTAAATAAAAAAGTTATTTAAAATTAGAATAATAAAGACTTTTTTTTTTCTAATCTACATGTATAAATGTACAAATAACTATTGTCTATCACCTCAAATTTACACATAAAATTAATAAGAACAAAAAACTAACAAACGTTTAACAACTCAGTTCGATTACATCGATAAGCACATTTTTAGAAGGTTTATATTCAGTTATATTAATTATATTATTTTTGTTTATTAGTTTGTTTTACATTTATTAGTACGTGTCACAACTTAGTTATATATTCATATTATTTCTTACATTTAATAAGTTTTTAAAACTTTATCTTGTTCTTTCACATGTTTTTAACTGTAGATTTGGCAAAAAAGACATAATATAAAGAATAGAATTTTTTCGATCATCTGCCTCATTATATATCAAATATCTGTATATCCTATATTATATTATATTTAATTACAATTTTTTATTAATATTTTAATTAAATATTTACAATTCATAAATTCATTAATAATATTGTCGAGTCAACTTTTGTTCATAAAATTTTTAAAAATATATTATTTTAATTGATTTGCTTATGTTGAATTGAGAAAAGTTATGTTTTTTAATTACATATACGGAGATTATAAGATTTCTTATATTTTTTATGTAGTATTTATTGAGTAATTGTGTTTATATTTTTTCTATTAAAAATAATTTAAAAACGTGAACTTTTTAGTTTCTAATTTTTTTTTGTCAAAACATGTGAAAGTAATAGTTTTTTAGGTAGTTCATTTTTTTATTAAAAATATAAATAAAATATGATGTGTATTAATGTATTACTAATTTGCCATTAAATTTTTGTCAAAATAAGGGTTTTTTAGGCATTATGAATTTTTACAAAAATACTCTTCCTTTTAAAGTAGTATAGATAGATATAGATATAAATATAGATATAGATATAGATGAATAGATAGATATAATAGCGGAAAATGATTCTTTTAGCGAAATCAAAGGTAATTCAAATGCAAAATATTAAAAGGGTGACTGAAAATAAAAAGGTGTCTAGCTAGGAGTTGGTTACATAGTAAGAAAAAATAAAACATCTCGTTTATTGCTTAAACCATTGAAATAACATTGATTTGGAAAAAATTCAGAAATAGAAATCGGCGAATTAGCAAGGCACACAAAGGCAAAGGCCGCAAAGCAGCCTTCCTTGCAAGAGAGATCATATATATCAACTAGTACATTATATAAAAGTTCACACCAAATCACAAACACTTAAAAATAGACAGGCATTTAATTATATTGTGTAGAACTCAACTCAACTCTCGTTAGTGTTAGTGTCGCTAGTCCCGTCCGAACGCTTCCCATGATGATGATTATGACGTTCACCTTTTGATCTCCGTCTCGTCAAATTCTTACTGCCTTTTTTCCCACGTTTATTAGTTGCTTGATGATCATCATCATCATCGTGCTCATACACATCCGAGATGTCCAAATGCACGCCAGGATCATTGGTCTTGTAGCTGCCGCCCATCATGATAGAGTTGTTTATGGCCTGGAAATTGCTGTTGACGTATGTGGCGAGGTCCTCCTGTTCCACGTCGTCCACATCGCCCCGCATGGTGGCACCAACGTTGTTCCCAGCCAGCGTGACGATCCCAACTCCTTTCTCGTCCTCATCGCTCGAACTCGGGTTGTGGGCCCGTTGGATACTGCCTAGGCGGGTGGTCAGGGCCGAGATTAGTTCTTTCAACTCCCCCTCGAGGCTGTTTCGCTCATTCTCAGTACTGTCGTGTGGGGTTGGTTCTGGAGCCATTTATATTATCTTAATTAAAGGCTTGCAAGATTAATGTTTGTTGTAGGATATAGATAATATATGTGGTTTTGCATGACTTGGATTTAAAACAATAAGGGGAGACTATTGGTGAAGACAAGAAAGAATTGTGTTCTTTTCTTGTGGATCAATGCAAAGAATTTTCTCCAAGGGTTTAGCAGAAGCAAGGAATTACTCACCTTTATCTTGAATAGTTTTAGGTGCTTTGTTTGTCGCACTTATTTGATATGTTTCATATATCTTGATTTGTTTTATTTTGTATGTACAACTAAATTTTTTGACAAATTTTAGGTTATCCAAATGCCTTTGGAGGTATTATCTATTCTATATATTATCTCTATATCTAAATATATTTTACATCTATCTATCTATCTATTATATCTATACTATCAAATATGTTGCCTAATATAACCTTATTTTTTGTCATATTTGTAATGGCAGCTTTGTAATTTAATACCCAACATTCCTAATTTGGATTAAACACTGATCACATTTTTTTTTTCTTCCGTCTCATTTTTTTTTTCAAGTAAAAAAATGTATTTTCTTTAATTAGTGGAGGCTGGGACAAGTTAATGAGCTTTTATATTTGGGCCGTCCATTTTCAAGTTTTTTTTTTTTTTTTTTT